AGCAGGATAGAAAACTGCAAATTACATCTCTCCACTCTGAGAAATTACTCAAACACGGAATAATTAAACACTGAAGCACAAACTGGCTCATTCAAAACCCATTGACGCTAATGGGAATCTGTCCACTGATTTTAATTGCTTCAGTTTGGGTGCAAAATGACTGAAAACACCACTGGCAATTGGAAAGCCTCGCCTGTAGCTTCAAATACATAATCAGTAGGGTAGTATTACAAAACAGAACACTATGGAGCTATCGGGAGCTGCAGTCTATAAAACACCATCCCGAGCTATTATGCAGTAATATTACACATTGTTACAGTGAGTAAAGATCAAGTACACTCTTATCCAAACAGAATAATAAAAATTATCTTAGCTGGTTCTTCACACCAACAGACAACCCTGTGATCTAGGTGGCAAAATTGTTCAAATGTAAGAAACTTGGTCAGAATCTCACAAATAATCTGAAACATTTAACAGAAATCCAAGAGGAAAAAAACAGATTTTTCTAATTTTGTTGCACAAATTAAAGCTTTAATAAAATATTAGAAATTATATGCAATATTGGCCAGAGATTTCCAAATCTTTCTAAATGCTCAAAAGATCCTGGAAACTGGTGTCAATAATAATCTTTAATCAAACCGTGTAAGAGAGAAAACAAATTACTGATTTTATAAAACAGTATTGTGAAGATATATAGACTAAACATACGAATATTTTCAGTACGTTAAAAATATGTGTAAGCCTAGTAGTATTTTCTGAAGAGAAAGTACTGCTGACAGAAAATAGGAACATCCTGCAACATTTTCATTTGAAGAGCAACATATGTCTCCAGCCCAGTATGATACAGCAAGACAGTGTTATTTTAAATATTTGGTATGCTTGTCAGAAGAAATCAGAAGAATCTTCAAAGCATTTTATGAACAATGCTTCACTAATTTTCTGTCAGGAAAGTGTCTGGGAATATAGTGATATGTTTGGACATGTTTTAGATGCTGTAAAATTATGTCAACAAATTCAGCAAAGGGAAGCTCTCACTTTTTAATGCAAGTTGTATTAAAGAGGGACACTTCAGAGATCTATGCTCTGGTTAGAGAGCTACTTTTCAGCCAACTATAGTTAGTATTTACTTAATCTGATATTTTTGTAAATAATTTTAGAACATTTTGCATTCAGTTCCTATGCAGTTACTATACATTTTACAACAATCCTGACTGTTGAGCTAGTACGAAATAGAGCAAAATTAGAGCTATGGTAAACACAAAGCACATTACTTCCTGTTTATGCCAAAATGCTAAATGTTTCCTTTAAAAATTCTTTATACATACATTTTACAGCACAGAACAGATGAAAGAATATGATCTGCTTTTTGATAACATTTTTAAGTTGCGCTTAACATGGTAATAGTACTGAGCAGAAGTTACTTAAAACAATCTTGCAGTACATTTCACATCTATTTAAAAGCCAAATTACAGTATTATTTATATGCCTTCCTTTTCATGTCTTTTCTTACATTAGAACTACTGGACAAACTACCAACATAATCAGGTTATCTTATTCACGACATATCCAATAAATTGTAGGATAAGAGAGAAAGCCTTTAAGTATATATCTGGAAGACCTGCATCTCCTTTTTTGCAACTAGATTGTAAAATATATTCTGGTTTACATTACTGCATTTGTTTTCCTAACTGCAGATGGTTCTACTGTAGACACAGTTTTCTTGTCACAATTTTCCTTCTCTTACTGGCTGAGAAAATAAAACAGCCTGGTATTTAACGTTTTCCTGTTTCCCTGTAAAGCCTAAACGACATACTGATACTGGTTTACTTCTACCTGCCACACTACTGTGTCTGCATTCGCCCATGGCCTCACCACTCTCCTCCTCCAACCTCCCACGCTCAGCCCTGATCTTCCCAGGCCCAGTCCAGTACGCAAAGAGATGCTGCTTTAGATGAGTAGTTACTGTCTTTTTATAAAAGAGGTCAAGTTCACCCTAACCAGGAAGCAGGACGTATATCCTCTAAATTAACACTCTGTAATATGTGTTAACTCCTGTCCATCCATTACACTGTGCACCTTTTTTTGCTTGCAGAGAAAACTGCTCTAGAGGACAAAAGAAGCCCAGAAATGCATAGATCACCCATTTTTGTCCCAGTTGATGCAAAAATGACCTTGTCAACTTTCTTCCTCTTACTTTATTTCATAACACAGCTGTCCCTTTTATCTAGCAGTTTTAAGGATAGCATTTGCATAAGCAGAACCTTTTATTTCCAGTTCGTCTCAGTAGTATATAGTAAAGCCTTCTGCCATAGCAAAGAGCAGAAAACAAACATGCCTACAAATAATGTTTCCCTTGGTTACGAGAATCAAAGAACTTCCTTATTTTCAGAATCATACAGTGGGAAAAAGTCATACTCAGCCACCTAAACAAACTTAGTGCTACTGAAACCAGAGGCTACTACGCTTAGGCATGAATCTTCCAAACACTTGCCAAACTTGACAAAATTTGCCTGTTAAACGCCATGTATCACAGAAGAAAAAAAATTATTAGTAACAATGACACACAATCCCAATCTTGCTCCCACTGACTTCAGTAACAAGTCTGTTATCATCTTCAGTGGGATTAGAATTAGACCAGAAATATAAAAATATTCTGTTTGATCAAAATTATTCTGTTGTGGAATTCCACCAATTCTTCAATCCTAGCACGCACACATCCATTTATTCTGACAAGCACCTTCTGCATGCAAAGACTATGCAATTCCCTTCTAAAAGAGACTGATGTTTAAGAGGTAGTTCGGTAACATGTATGTACTACAGCATGTATATAGCCTTTCAGATGATAAAGACCTCAAAGGCTGCAAATCTGCTGTCCTGAACAGGTCTCATTTAAAATGCAGATAAACACTTTGGTAGCAGATTGAAGCTTTTTTTTCTGTTTTTCAAAATAGTAAATGTAACTTAGAACAGAGGAAATAGAAAGTTTATACAAAAAAAAGTGTTTTCAAAAGAATATTGCCTTTAACACAAAAAAATAGCTTTCCTTTAAAAAAGGAAAGTGCTGTGGATAAAAGCCCACAAGAAGTAGTGAAAATGTCACTATATCCCATTATAGGCAAAATGCCTGAGTAAGAGATTTTGATAAATGCATGCTTGCTAAAAAGGGCGCCCTTTTTAAATGAGCTAAATAATATGCAATTCAGTATTAGCAACGTTTCATAAATACAGTCCATTGCCACCACTATAAGTCTCACTTATAATGGGGACATGCAACCCCCGTTTATAACAACCCCCAAATCCATGGATATTTTTTCATTGGTTAGGATCCCTGTTACAGAAAATGGTTATATAATGCTGGTCTGAATACAAAAATATATTCCTTGCTTGATGCAGTGCACTTCCTATATTTAGCATGGGAAGTGTATAGATTTATTTTTCATTTCTTTACTGTTTCCTTTTCAAAATATCATTTAAATGTTGGTCAAATTATAGCAACAAATTATAGCAACTTTCTTTTCTGGTAAATAGTACCAAGAAATGCTACCAAATTGACATTTCTTCAATATTCTGATGACACAGGTTTCTAAATAGTATTGTAAACCACCAAATATATTTAACTTCTGTACAGATCAAATGGGGAGATTGTTGTACTGAGGTTACACTGAGTAAGTTTTCAATACACCAGATTACTTCTTGATGAGGAAAACACTGTCACATCATCACTGACCAGGGTTATCTCATATGTTGTTTTCCAATTTTGTTTACATCTCGTATTTTAAAATGTCACATTATAGATTTTAGATATTGAGTTACAGTCAGCTAATGCACCAGTCTCCATTTTCCATTATATGTTCACTTTTTGCTAAAAACCTTCAGTATAATTTCTTTAAACCATGGAAAAAATAACTCTTAACAGAAATGACAGCACTGCATTGCTAACAATAAAAATATTTTGCACTTTTGGAAATTTCAGGTGAAAGAGACTTATGTAAATATTCAATCACTTACTTTGGTAGAGTTTTCAAGTGATTTTCTCTTAACTCCAAAATTCGCAATTTGACAAGTCTAGAAATATGATAGAAAATAATTAGTCCATTCAGTGAATTAGTTCAGGAATTCAGAAGAATTATTTGAAACTACTTATTTCAACAAAAAAAAGAGTCCGCTTAATGCACAATAGTAAGATGGCCAGTTATTGTAGGGTTGAATATGATACAAAATGTACTCAGAACCAAATAGGTTCATGTAAGGACAGATAGCTTCAGATAAGGACATATCTGTCCTTACCTGAACTCTTCTGAAAAACTTTGACGTATATCAGTTTTTCACAGTAATTCCAAATTATTTTTATTAATTATTCAAACAAGGCAAACATAGTAAAAGTTAATTTCTCTCAAACCTTTCCAGACTTATTAAGGATAAAAAGCAACCGCTATTTAGTTCACAACTTTCTTTTGCATTTTTTGAGCACTGAATTCTACAACTCCACACAGGCAGACCAATACCACAGAACACATCTCCATTGAATTTACCATATTTTAAACAGAAGTAGGACACGTGCTTAAGTGTTGGTATAAATTAGAACCTACACACAACAGTACTTCATAATTCCATATCATTGTGCAAACTCTAACTGGCAGTATTATTATTTAAGCCACAGCAATACATTTCATGAAGTAGAATAATGGGAAGGAAGGAGGACACATCAGATAAGAGATGAAGAAACTAATGTATTAGAGTTCCAGAATTTGAGGCAGTATTGTCTACTTACCCATATTGTCTAGGAAGATAAATTGTTAAACATGAAAGGATTTTGATTCATGTCACCCTTTTACTGGTTCTTTAATCCCAAATTATAATCAATGTGGGGAGGAAAAGGAAGAGGATATAAAACCGAAAGGATGAACAAGGTCTTTTCCTCTTCATCTCAAATTGTACAACTCCACTCACAGAAAATCTGGAGTATCAAACCAACTATTTTTTGGAGGTACATTCAATGCATGAGCTGACCATGCCCAGGATTGCTCAAGGCCTATGTGAAACTGAGCAGTTCTGCTTAACTAATTTGTAATTGTATCGTTTCTAAACAGATGTCAGCCCAGAGTCATACTATTAAAGCTTCTAGGCTGATATCATAGTTTCTAAATGTGAAGGAAGTTTATTGAGGAACTTTGTGGTGAGTTTCAATTATTTCATTAATACTGCTTCTCATATTACTCTGTGTCTACAGTCCAGGTCCTTTAGTGCCATAAGCATAAACATGTGAGAACAGTTGAAAAAAAATACAACAAAGCTTTAAATAGTTCTCTGTCCAGCATACCACCAGTTTTCTGTTTCATGGAACCTCAGGCTTCCCAATATTATGCTCTTCTAGAAAACTATGATTTTATCTTTTTCTCCTACCAAATAAAGCAGAAAACATTTCAAGTCCTACAGTTGCGCTTAACCAGGACTAAAAAGAACGACTTTAAATGAGAAATGCATAGAGACTTTTGCATGGTGCTCAGGTAGACTCTGTTCCTGACTTTATTCACATGGCTAAATGAGACTATAAGAGACTAACTGAATATTACTGTACAAATTTGGAGAAGTGCAGTAAGAGAGATACAGTTAAAGAGCTACATGTGGCTAGTAAAAAAAACCAAAAGAGCAATGTCTGTATGCTAATGTGGGAAGCTTTGGAAACATGACAAGGATTTGTAAATGCAAAACACCAAATAGATAATATAGGAGCAGAATAATAATAAAGGAATAACAACCACAACTGGAACTAGCGTCATTTCATTTAGATAAAATATGCATTTGTAAAGGAAAAAAAAACTTAGTGCTTTCTGCTAAAATATTTAGAATACTAGACATGTCCTTAAGCGACAAAGATTATTAGACAAAGTACCAGCAAGGCTTTAGAAGAGCATAATGAATATAGACACTACACATCTGATAAATTGCAGGCTATTTAATGTATTTATTTTTCCTTGACATTTGAACATAATGTCTGATTCCAAACTGCAGAAGCAGGCTGTCTTAGGATTTACTCTGGTATTTAGAACACTCATCAAATGCAAACAATGACAATTTTTCTTCCTCTTTCTTCAACTAGGCATTTCTAAAAGGTATTTCAGCGTAAAGCCCAGACTCAGCTCTGCATCAGTGACAGGCCCATCAAGTGAATGCTGATAAAGCAGAACTTTCTATTTCTCAATGCCTGAGCATACCAATGTCATTTCCAACACAAATTATGTCACCTCAGTATTAATTTTAGAGTGCTGAGTTGATGTTCCCAGTTGAGCAATAAAACACACATACGGGTAGCTGGATGGACCAGGAAAAAACTAATACTAGGTGCCTTCTGTAACACCACCATATATTTTCTCTGTTAATCCTTTGTCTTCTGAGCTGATTGCCCAACTAGACTACCCGAGGGCAGAAAGGCTGACCATTCCCTCACCAGTGCAACAGAGGTGGAATAAACCTGGCATTTCTGCCAGACCTGTGCAGTGTAAGGATCCATTGGCTTCTGCTGCCCTCTTAAATGGCCATGGCAAATTGTGTTAAGTTTGATTTCCTCTCCCATCTCTTCTTTGTCCTTATCTAACACTTTTTGCCTCGGTTTCTGCTGCATTTATTTTTACTCTCATTCTACATCCTTTCTGTCTCTTGAATCTTCTCTCTTGTTTTTGCTTTCACATTTTTCCTTTGGTTACTCCACCACGCTCAGTCATTTCTTTCTTCCTTTCTGACTCACAACACGTTTTCTTTCTGTTCATTTTTCAATAGGCATAGACCACATTGTTATTTTCTGCCCTTTCCACAATTTAATAACACATTTGATCAAGGACAGGCCTCCTTCAATTTCTATTTCTTCTCACCTTTTCCCTAAACCACCAAACTGCATCACTTAATCATAAAATTCTTGCTGACATAACATTCTCTCTAAACAATCATTCATCAAAATAGGGCTGAAAAGCCAAAATCTCTTTGTGCTTTTTGTTTTGCTTTGTTTGGTTTTTAAAAAGAATACAGCTTTACAATGGTCCCTTAAAGCCTAAACTGGGTTCATATGAGAGAGCAATGTGCTTTGGTGACTAATTCTTACCTTCCAAAGTTAGCTGGAAGAAACTCCAAAAAGGCATCATTTAGATAGAGCTGGGTCAAATTTAGAAGTTGTGTGAAGCCATCTGGCAGCCTAAAAAAAAGAGTTAAAAGCTTAATGCTCACACCGAAGTTGCTATGGAAATAATAACAATGTATATTTAGAAACAGAAAGATGACTTTTTCTCTCACCTTCTTTTTCTACCCAAATTCTCAAGAACTTACTTGTTACAGATGACATTTCTGCCCATTCTCATCTTTTCCATGTTGCTATAACCACATGAAATTCAAATGCCTGGCACATTTAAGTTACATCAGCCTTTTCTCCCTTCCTAGCTGAGGGTTTTAAGCCAAAGGTGTTTTCTTTTTTTTTTAAAACTGAAATATTAAAATTTCATCCTTTCACCTCCTTCACTCCATTTTATAAATCATTACAACACAGATTTTTTGTGACTATTGCAAGTTTTTGGAAGGAATAAGGGTTGCCAGAGTCCCAAGAGATTATGGTATGTGAGGACGCAGCACAGCTTACTTCCCAAATACATAAAGCACCAGCCTCCTGTGTTTAAAAGGTTGCATCATATGGACTACTTTGCCAACACTTTCTTTACTATGTGAAAAGACACCACATTTGTTACATAGTACACAGATCTTTTCATAGATACATCAACCCTGGATTTCAAACAATTAAAAAGAAATTTAGATTAATTCTGCAAATGAACTTGATACAGCGTCTTTAAATTTTAGTTCACTTTGCGTAAATTTTCTGCACTTGCAGTAAACAAACACAAGCTACTGATACTCACTTAGAGACTGGATTGACACTGGCTTCAATAATTGTTAAACACTTACAACATTTAATATTTTCTGGAAAATCTTGAATTCCTAAAAAAATATTGAAAGAATTATTATACACCCGTAAAAAAACTGTTCAACTTGTTTTGTTCATATATGAGTTCATTTGGCATTTTCAGATCAGACTTAAGCTATAACAGGAAGAATACATGTATTTTAGCATTACAGTCTAAAAGATGATACTTAAGCACTAAATAAATACACCAGAACAGATAATATGCCTTGTACTAAAACTATTATGCTAATGCTTGATTTATATAATCTTCTAGACTTAAATAGTGACATCATTTGTAGTGATATTTGTGCCTTTCATTTCTTTCCGAACTGCTTATCTTTTTCTTCTTTGCCTCCTTCTCTTCTCGGGAGAACATACGTATAATCCTGAGAGTCTCTAGGCCTATACTGATAATAAATTTTTCAAAATTTTCAAGAATGCCTAAACCTTGTTTTCAAAACAAAGACACTTAAGTTCAGATATGTAAAGGTTTTTAGGCACATAAATATAAATGCGTAATTTGGAAATGCACATCAGCAAATTAGTCACTGGCTATATAAATCCTGGTAGTTGTTCACCTGCAGCCTTATATGCTTAAATAGGTTACACAAGAGCCTAGTAAGTACTAAGTCACTTTGGAAAGTGGAACGCTTCATAAGTGCACTGAAAAATGGTCTCCCACTCCTATTTCTAATGTTTATTAGTCACAAGTCATCACGGGATACTATGCTAAAGCAACCTCTTTTTTTTTGTTTGTTTTTTACAGAAAAGTAAATGAGGTAGATATCTACCCAGACTTCTCAAAAGTGCCAGACAGGAAAATAGTACATAATCCAGAAAAAGAGCAAGTTTTCTAGAACACAAGTTTGTTAATCATTAGGAATTAAAACTTCATTATTGTAATATTCATTACAGTTCTTTAAAATACTTATACTTTTGATCTCTTACCATTTTTACTGATATCAAGTTCTTTGAGATTAACTAAGCTAGCAATAGTGGTTGGCAGACTTGAAAGGTCATTGTCTGGTATACTCAGTTTGCGTAAAGCTTGACAGTTGAACAGTTGCTGTAACATAAAAAGATACTTTACAGTGTTTCAGGAAAAAGATCAGTTTGGGATCATTATTTATACACAAAAGCAACAAATACCACAAAACTACATTTGCTACATAAGAATTCAATAATCAAAAAGTATTTTGAAAAGCCATTATTTAAGAAGACATTCTTACAGGCTGCTCAGTATCATAAACACAGCTTATACACAGAATAATCAGAACAGTTGACTGATAGCAGGAACGTTCAAAAACAGCTTTCTGTCAAAAACTGCATACTCATTGCAATTAACATTTTGTAGGTACATGATATTTCATATGTGTCATATCAATTGAAATTTTTTGTGGCTTGTGGTAAAATAAAATATTTGATCTTATAATTTAATTTCATGATAGATTTTAAAATATTTTGACTGCATGCAGAAGAAATTTGCTATCTTCAAGAAACAAAATGCTTTGACATTATCAAAATATGTTCCTTAAGTCTCCCCCAAAATTCAGGACTTGATTCTAATTCTAAATTCCAATTCAAATTTTATAAAATGTCAGAATTTCCACTGCAAAAACAATCCTCCTTTCAACCTGAAGTAACCAATAAATCATGTTGAAAGCACCTATTTAACATGGCTGCTTTCCTCAAGAAATATCACTATCTCACATAACACCTCACACACGTAAAAATCAATAAAACAACCATACTAAGAGAAAGCAGTCATGAAAAGCGATTTCACATTTAGGTACATGGCATTGCAAGGTTAGAGATGCTGTATATGAAGAACAAGCAGGTGCATTGTTTAGATAGAGTAGCTTATAGCTTCTTCAAGCCCAGCATGCTAGCAGGTATAAGAGGAGAATGCAATATAATTGCTTGGCTTATTTATTGCCATGCTGCACATTCCCCAGTGACAGTACTGTGGAAAATTGGCTGTTAAGAGTAACAGAGAAGGGTCACGCATGGCTACCCGCCTTGGTGGTACAAACCCTGCTTTGCACACCCAGCACAGCATCACTGCAGCTGGCCTCCAACTCCCGGTAGCAACCACTCCTGCGCTACCCATCACACTGGACTGCAGGAAAGACCTGCTTCACAGTACCCACTTTGTGGCTGCAGGCTCTAAAAACATCATTCTTTTCAAGAGTTAAAAGTTACCAAACCCCGTAGGACTTTCTGCGAATATGAATTCACCAAACGGCACCAGAAAATTCAGTGGGTTCCAGAGAACAACAACTTCTCTTTGCAGGCATCTCAAAAGCATTCTTTAGATATTAGTGCTATGTTTACAACAGATTTAGTCTTTCTTTCAGACTTCTATATCAGAATAAAGTCTATATACTCATCTACAGGCTATTTGAGAATGCACAATAATTTGATTGCCTAGATGAAAAAGCCAGCCAAGTATCCGGAGAGGAGAAAATTAACACACAAATGGTGTGCAAATGTCAACCTGGTACTTCACTTGAAGTAAATTTTAGATCATTTTGAAACTGCATTTTTCTGCCGTAACTCATAATCCTTTAGAAAAATCCTGCTTTTTCTTCAAGATAATCTGTTCTCAGAAAACTGAAAGGGAATCACATGAATAAAAAATGTTCAGAATGAGAAGCACCACACCACAATCACTATCAGTTGGCACCAAATATGAAAGTGCCTTTTTACTGAAAGACACCTTTCAAAATGCCTTTGTATTGACAGTTTTTTCAGATTTCCTCTTACATGAAACGTACTTGTTAATTCTCAAGATTGTACAACAGCCCCCTCCCCACCACTCACCAGCTAACAGCAGAGAAGTACAATGCTACAGCCCAGGAGCCCCGCAGGAGTGACAAAGAGAACTATTTCTTCTAACTATTTAATATAACTATGCTGGGTCCTGTGGTTCCCAATCTGATTTCTAGGAACAGCCAGAACATTTACTGTACACCCTGGAAGCCAAACCCAGTTACACAGTTCTGCTTGCAGACAATGTTAATAAAGGGAAATATCTCTCCAGAGAATGAGGAATTCTTTTGCAATGCATCTGAGAGCACCTACTTTTTCTCTTTTTTAAGGAAGCACATCAGTTTGGATAAGACTGGAAAGTAATGAAACTAATAGGCTCTAGGGTTTGCTCTTGAGATTTCTAGCCACATTACTGTGTGAGAACTGCTGTAGACATTAGTAACGTTCAGCATAGGGAACCTGCAGAATTTTGGTACGTATACAAACTATACCATGCTATTACACCTGGAAAATGAAATTCCCAGTGCATGTTCCCAGCCATTCCCCTGGAGAATTCTTATTTTAAAAGCCAAGGAAGGCTTGGAACTTAAACTTTTGACAATATCTGAACAGATACAAGCCTTTTGAACTGGTGAATGAAGAAGCATAATAAAAAATACTCCCTCTGGAGTAATTTTATGATGTACTGTTGTAGCAGAAATAATACAAGAGTGTGAATACGGGTATGTAGGCCCAAAATTGCCCACTTTTTTTTACCCACTGGATTTTCAAAAGGTGTCTTTCTCAATTTCTAGTGCTTTATGGCCTTGCCATCACAATCTTGATGTAGTCATCATACTGTATGTCCACATACTACTTTTATTCCGTTCAGACTGGAAACGAAGTGGTGCTAATAGTGCTGTGATTTGAGTTACAACAATGAGCTGTTATTCTGCATATCTCAAGTTCTTGACTACAGAGCAACAGAGGTTGTTGGTTCCAGGGCCATTAGAGAACAATATGACATTTCTGCTCTTTACTTTCTGTAGGCATAACTGTGAAATAGGTTGGCTAACATACTGGGGGAACTTGATGTCAGGATTACAAAGGAATAACACTTTCTAGCTTTGCAGAACAGAAACATGATTTCTTATTGGCAGGTTTAGAAGAAGTATTCAATGCCTTTAACAGAAACTATAACTTACATAGCAAATGCAATGCAAAAGAAAAATATAGTTAATTTATAATACCTACCCATCTTTTGAGCTATACATTAGTGATTACCTCAACACCATTTATACATTGGTTGTACTGTTGTTCTCAGTGAGACAATTACGCATTAAGATGTAGCCTCTAACTTCAGTAGCATATTTAGCATTACTGGTACCTATTTTCAACACGTGAGATTGTGAAACACAGTGGTGGCTATTTCTAGAATTTGTTGTTAGAGACAGATGAATTTTTTGTAAGTCATTGACAAGTAAACTAATTTTTTCTATTACAAAGTAGTCCGGATTGTACTTTATATTTATAAGGGAAAGCTGCTGGGGAGAATTTTCATCTTATTCATGTTTTTCTGGATACTGATTGCCAGTGACTCCACCTTCATTAAAATTGTTATTTTTTTTAGTAGTCATTGATTCATTTGACTCATACAGTTAGGGACATACTTGCAGCAGCAGCTCATCATAATGAAGTCAAAGGTAAATAAAATAAAAGACTTGGCTAGATTTAGGAGAAAATAGAGAATAAGAATTATACAACAATCCTATAAATCCTTAAAAGAAAATATTAGAAATTAGGAACTAGAAATCCATTTCTAATGAAGACAGCAGAAAAAAAGCATAATTATGATGCATAAAATGTAAGGTCAAAATTTTTTAAAAAAACAGACAGAATGAGTTTAATACATCAGTTTAATGCAAAATAATTTATTGGTTTCTAGTGTACCATGTATCCAGGTAGATAAGGACTTAACAGAGTTTTTACCTATGCTTTTTTCATTACATTTTTAAACTTGATAAAGTGTTCTGATGAGAGAAAATTTCAAAATAATATTGTGACTTCAGAGACACATAACATTTGGTAAATAACAGAAAACTGACAAAACAATTTTTCTCTGGAAGTAGTTATTTGAATTCACATTTACAGAGAGAGGAAAGTTCTGCCTATGGTAGATCATAACGTGTAATACAAAAGTTAATGTTAAGTAATATGGTGCTATTTTATGAAAAAATGTCATTTTCTCTCCTAGAATATTAATTCAATACTGAAAAAAGTTCAGACACATGCAGCAAAAAATATTTGAAGCAGAAAATTTGATAAAGAAATTATTTGGATTGTTTCATTTATGGTAATGATTAATAAAGGCTTAAGACAAAAAAATACAAATGGTATAAAGAAAGCAAATTAACACTCCCATTAATCTTCTCTTACACAAGGCCAAGACTATGTTAAATGATGCATTTACCCAAACTTAAGACCAATTAAAAGGATTTCTTCAATACACAGTATTTGCTTCAAAATATTATTTATAACAAAGAAAAATGAGAAAAAAGAGGTGTAAAAATAGAGTACTATATATTTAAATGTCTCCAAGGTATGTATTTATCTCTGTTTTGTTTCACAAATAACAAAGACAAAATAGGTGATACCACAACACCATGCAAAGGTTTCATTAACATGCACGTTTCAATTGTGACTGACACTAACAATGATCACCTTCATCCCAATTTCATAATTTTGGACTCCTTACCTTTGGCCCTCAGTTTTTCCATATAGAATTATGGCATATTGCTCTTGTTCTATGCCCTGATATATTTGTCTTCCATTATACACTGCAATTTAGTTTGAATACCATGGTGATGCGTACTTTCAAGAGACCCAAAATAAATATTCCAAAAATCCCTAGCTAAATTAGACACTTTATATATTCTTCAGTATGATTCTTCAGTGGCGTAATTAAAATATACAAGGTTAACCATGTATTATTATTAAAAGAGAAACAGTCCTGAAGGTATTCATTAGCAGTAAAATGGCCTCCACCACAATCCATTTCATATTTATGGGGACAGAAAAAAATATCCGGTTCTCTGCTGCCCTTTCTAGTAGCAGGAGATATAAGGCAGTTCTCCATATCATTTTTCTGTGACACTTAAAAGACTGTAGCTACCCTGTCTTACTATCTGTAAAGAATTTCTTGACGGAGTGAGCAACCTTAAGCAATGAACCACCATATCCGAATAAAGGAACTCCATGTAATAGAAAGAGTACGTTTTCTACATTTGTAAATAGGATTTATATAAAGTCTCTATGCGGTGTAAGTAAGAAATACATTGAGAGATGATGAAGAATGGATTACAGTGGAACAATGTTTAATTAAAGACTTGTAAGCATCTTTCTTTATTGTTGAAAAAATTCAATTAAGGAATGGATTACATTACTTCATGCTTCATTATGTAGCTAGCACCTACTATTAATTGGTTTTTCCACTACCTTGCCCTTTTTTGTTTCCAGAACACTTAAGTTACAGTAATTTTCAATTCCCTATAGTAAACATTAATCAACAGAAGAACAGATTTAAAGATTCTATAAAAGAAGTTCTACACAGGAAGGATAACTTAAGTAATCTTATTGCAGGACCTCATTTGCAGTTATAAAAATATTAGTCAGATAGTACTGGCATTTCTCCCACGAGGATAAATGGCTTATCCTGACAAAGAGCCTGCTTTTAAAAGCAGCGCTACAGAGGATCCAAATGTGAGATCATCTACCCCATATATCAGCGTACTCCTGGTCAAGGTATCAAATGCCATATTAATTACTTGTTGTGCAAGAAGTACTTCTTTTGAACAATCATTAATTTCCCAACTTACGACTTCATTGGCTGCCCCCTGTTCCTGTGTTATGAAGCAAGGAGAAGTAGGTGGCCCTACTCCTCCCGACGCAGTACCATCTGCAAGAACAGTGTCTCAGCTGTTTGGGCTCTTCAGAGAGGCAGAAAAAAAATTTGTAAAAATGTAATTGAATCTCTAGAGTTAATAGCCATGACTCTTTCCACAGCAAGCAGGTCTCCTGGTCAAGAGCAAGCCCTATTTCAGAGTTGAAGTACATGTTGAATACACATTTAAGAACGCAACTTTGACATCTGTATTACAGGCAGAACACTGATTACCTTAGGTAGCTCTTCAATTTGATTGGCATCTAGGTAAAGCTCCTCTAATGTCCGTTCAAAGTTAAAAACCTCCTTTGGCACCTGCTGTAGGCCACAGTGAGAGTAATCCAACACTGAGACAATTTCTTCTTCACCACGAAAACACCGGCAGGGCACCAAGCGGCCGATAATTTTCCTTTTGGTTGTCATCTCCAAACAGCATACTGAAGGAAAAGGGGAAAAAACAGTTTTCTGAAACTATCAACATTTTGGGGACTATTTCTTTAGCATTATTACAGAGATTGCAGTCCATTAAATAAAGTTTTTCCTGAGGGATATCTGTAGTCTGCATTCTGCATTTTTTATTCTACCTTTCTACAAAACATGAAAAAGTGAGATTTGCCAGCGTAATCACAAAAAGCAATCTCAATACATCATCTGTTCCCCCACACTGGGACATAAGAAAACATGCCAAGACCATCCACAACGTTGCTTTCTTTAATGATGAAAATTAGCTGTGTAAATCCTACATGGATGAACATGTTCATCAGACAAAGTACAAAATGACAACGTTTGTACTCCATGTTTTAGTCCCTTGCTCAGTTTGGACAGTGAGCCACTGAAGTGAACCAGAGTCATTTGGTTCTGATTCGCCCTGTCAAATGCCCCATTGTATTATACCTGATTTCTCTGAAATCAGAGTTCCTTAGCTTTCCAGTTACTGCTGGAGTATATTCGCTGTCTTTTCAACCATATGAATAAAGAAAAGGATATGTAAACTTAATTGGTTATATTCTCTTATATTACCTTGGTCTGCTGAAAACTCAGGTAAGCGACTTAGCAGAAATACCATTAATTTTTCCGCAGTAAAATAAACGTCTGGGAAATTTCACCACAGCCTGTTCCCTAACTTCTTCTAATCTAGATGCCAAGTTCTGCAGATCTTCCTTGCATATGCAGTTTGTATGAGCACCTCTAACTCATATGAGTAACAGTTTACACAATTGCATCTTACTATTTTTCAGTGTAATAAAAATACTTTAACTCACTACTCTTGAACTGAGAGAACACTCAATAAGCAGATTTTATACATGTCAAGCAGTCTCTAAATCTGGAATAGATATTGACATTTTTAGAAGTTATTTTAACATGATTATAGATAAATTAGGCTGTTCTGAAACACTATCACAAAGCCAAGAAGGCCTAAACCTTCAACTCCCATTTTCTAAACCACTTACAAGGTTTTGAGTTACATATATGAAAAAAATGCACAAAATTAGTCCAAGTAAAGCAAAACAAAGCTCATCAGGATCCTCTTTCACAGGATGCCAGTGAAAAAGCAACTGCATATTCATGCAAAATATCAGTGGAGATAATGCATATTGTTTAAGCCATTACTTATCTGAAATGTAAGAGAAAAAAATAATTTAATTGGTCAGATAATGCTCCATTCATGGATCTCTGTGACTTTTTTATCATGTAATACATTGATACTTTGGAGATAAATAGAATATTCAAATGTTTTATTTCCTTGTTTAAATTTTATTAGCACCTAATCTGCCTCTAGCAATCCCAATGAGATGAGCACATGAATACTGTCAGAACAAATACTGTGTTTTCATGTTCTCAAGAAGACTGAAATGTTGAAACGAACAACAGTGAAACCAGAGTGCAGCTGGTTATTCATTTGGCAGTGCCAATGACAGGCTTTCTGTTGGCTGATTCTGGATGAAGGGTAAAGCTTAAAACAGAGAAAAGAGTATAGTAATTTTGTAATTCAGCTTGACCAGATGCCAAGTTTGTGGGTATAACATGAAAGTTGTATCTTAATTACAGTCAACTGATGCAGTGAAAACACCTGCATAATACAGTGTACATAAACTTCTGAAAATGTAAAAATAGAACAATTACAGGTATGAAAAAAGAAGCAATTCATTTACAAGCTAATAAATCACAAAATCTAAAAGTTTTATTTCAGTTCAGCGGTATAGTCCACTGCAGAACACAAACAGCCGCACAGCTAAAGTTTAAGGATGCCACCCGCCACTCAGACTTACTCTGTGAACTTTGATTTTAAATGTTCTTCATTTAAATGTCTTACACCAGGAACACTAGATCCCCAGTCACAATTCATACTCAACACTGTTGCTGGACCTGGGTTCCTGATTAGCACTCAAAATTTCCTGTGATAAAGAAATGTTTATTTTAACATTGTCCCTAATTTTCCTCTGGAAATAAGGCTATTGCCATTGCAGCTTCAAATCTGTTGGTCAATTTCAAACCCATTTGGGAGGAAATGACATTTATAGTTTTCTCAACTTCAAAAAATTTTGCATTTGTTATTTTTTATTTAAGGTGGGAAAAGTCCCAAAGCTCTGCTCCAAAGCAAGTCCAGTAGGAGAATGGCTCACCACACCAGAAGTTCTCCCAGTTCTCTCTCACATCAGGGTTTTTTCCTAATTGCGGTGTTACCTGCTCTCTCCAAATCTTTTGCACTGTATCTGCTCCCACCACCAAAGCACATGACATGCAATCAGCTCGTCTGGTCTCTGAAAGTCTGTATTTTGATGTTGAAAGCAGCTTTGGCCATCGCTACTTAAAGTTAATCACCTTGCACCATATTCTACCTGACTTTAGGATCATCTGCAGTTGCAGCAACTGCTGACTTCAGCAAACCTTCACACGTGGGAAGCAGCAAGGAAAAGAGGCAGAATAATGACGAGGGAAAGCTGTCAACCTCAGCAGGGCTGCAGATGGGGCCAAGGGGAAAGGATGTGAAGTGCACAGTGGCAAACAGCCTCCAGCCATGTTCCCCTGCCTGGGACGCCCAGCTGAGGCAGCCTGTCCTGTCCCTCCCCTTCCGAAGGAGCATCCCCTGTATGTAGCAGGGTGGATGTCCCTGCTGGAGATGAGCCAGCTGGAGGACCCAGACACAGGGAAGGCAGCACAAACACCTCATGGCCTCCCAATGTCTCTGCCTTGCCAGTATTTCCAGAATTGGAGCACAGGCTACAGAAGGGGTGCAGACACTGACCACTGACACCAACCTGCACTGCATCTTTAGTTCCAGAAATCTTCCCCAATAGCTCATTGAGTGTACAAGATTGAAAGACAAAAACTGTAAAAGCATTGGTCACAGAACATGTATTTCACAAGAAAAATGAAGTTAGCTATCAAGTTGCACAGTCTCTTTGTATTCAAACATAGGAAGCAGCATTTGCAACTGCATATTTCAAACCTTGACACAATAAAAATAAATGCCCTTAGAATATCAAATTATTTGTAGCTTTTCAAGCCATTTGAAGATAACGAACAATTGAAGTGACATGGACTTCAAAAACTACTCAGAAAAACATTCTTCCCATAGGCATTACAAAGCACTTAGCTTTGCATTATTCTCCTCTACTGTAGGCATACACATAAAACAAACCCTGCGTTTCATTTTAATAGAAACACAGAACAGTAACAGTATAATAGAACAACTGGAAAGTGTACAAATAGCGAAGTGATAGAACTGTACTAAAAATAGCAATTACAACAGCAAAAACATTTTCAAAAAGTTTTTTCTTTTGCTTATGTAAACAAAACTGTTTCCATTATTGCAGTTCATAAAAATATCTATAATTTCGTACTCAATAGAAAATTGTTTTAAAAATTAGACAGAAAAAATTGCAGAGGATAATCAAAAGTGATTTAATTGCTTTGCCTTTCTCAAAAGCTATGGTAAGACTCGATTGTCATGATAAATTAGGTTGGTGGGATTAATTGGCTATCTATTGGAACTGTCCTCTTCAGGAAGAAAAAACAAAACCAAACCAGAATGTGATTTGGATAGATGAGCAATCTGTATTTAAGAAAAGATCAATACTGGAATAAAAAAAGTACTTGAACCTGAATTATGGTGCAGTGCTAAGATCTTGTGAGAAAAGTTAGCATGAAGTAACTCCACTACAGAAACTGCTGCTTATAGAATATTTACTGGAAGAATGGCCATGGGAAAGTATGAACTTAAATGTATTTTGATAAGAAGTGGGTTTGCATGTGTCCATAGTCTGCTCCATTATCTACCCTTTGTAATTAAAAAGAAAACAAACAAAAATGCTGAAAAACCTGTAAAAAAAAGATCCCCTGGGATTTATATTGCTCTTTGCAATAATTTCAGAAAGCACCAGTACAGAATTAAAGGACATGTGGTACAATTGAAAGTAGTAAAATTTCATGCCCTGTGGACTAATGGTAATTAAATGCTTTATTAATTTCAGTATTATTAATTCCTACCCTGGACTAATTCCAGCTTTAGTAATTACACTTTTCTTACCTACATTTTATTCCTTCATAATTTTCATAAAGCTTTCCTTTTGTTCTGATGGTTACTTACTGTAAGAGGATTGCTACTTGAGATCCTTGGGAACAAAATTTAAGTCAAATAGCCAACAGAAAGCCAGCCTCCCAACTTTGGGAGTTTGAGTCACCACACACATTGCTGCTTTATAAAATTCCATAGTCCCTGTAAGTGATATAGAAAGTCTTTTTTCTTTCTATGGGTTTTCCTCATAGAAACACCAGTGCTTAGTACTTTTCCCCATTCAAACTAGCGAAAGAAATCTAATTCTCCATAGCTGAGTATTAGAGGTTATTGCTCACCATATGTCACATGCTATACATTAAAGACTATACACTCTAAAAGATTTATATCACAGTCAAAAATCAAGAAATTTCAGGTTGTCTATTCAGTCTCACATGTAAGAACACTAAATTTTCAAAATTCATCAGACCACATATAGAAATGCTCAGCAACTTGGAAAGCTATGAAGACTGTCCTGCAAAGGCAGTGGGAACAGGTGGATTTTTTCAAATGCAAAAGAACTAGGATGAAATGTACATCCTTTGGGTTTTTTTGTGATTCTGCTTCAGGAAATTTATTAATGTCTTAACTAATAATTAATTCTATACAACGGCATACATAACAAACTGTAATGTACCATTTTTCAACAATTCAGAAAATTGAATTGTTGAAAAACAATTTTTGTTTGAAAAACAAAATGAAACACAAACACATTTTTCCAGCTTAAAAATGTTATGACCTGTTTTCAGAATGCTTTTTAAAAAATATATTCTTTCTTGAATTAAAGAAACTATGAAACAAGCATAAATATAAACTGCTATTTATCAGCTTCATGCAAGCATCTCATTATCATCGTCAGTTTATT